CCTACTTTGGATATATTGTCAGAAGGGACCAGTTCCTGGAAGAAATTGGAGGGTCAGAGAACAAGAAGAAGACCCCCAGTGAGATGGATTGGCACAGTGGCAGCAGCAATGGGCTCAAGCGTAGCAATGATTATGAGGTTGGCCCAAGACAAGGTGGTGTTTCTCATTCTGTTGTACATAAGGTCGCTATGAGTGAGTACCGACTCAATGGCACCAAACAACAACAAGCATTAAATAAACTTTGAAACATAGAGCTAATGATGCTAACAGCCAACATCAACTATATAAGCACATATAAACACTGCCTTCTCTTACTATCCTTTTACAGATTATATTTTGAATTATGTTAGCTTTTCAAGGCCAGTTAACATATCCTTTTTTTTTTTTTTTTTAAAAAAAAGTACACTAAAAGCTCTATAGAGTAAGCACTAAACTGTGAGTCACAAAGTCAGTGGTTCAAGCCAACAAGCGGCTCCATGGGAGAAAGATGAGGCTTTCTGCTCCAGCAAAGAATTTAAAGTTTTAGAAACCCTATACAGTGTCTCTATGAGTCAAAACCAACCCCCTGGCACTTAACAACAACAAATAGCATCATATACCTGGAATATCATATTTATACTATTCAACAACAAATACTTGCTGAATAAACACAAGTATTACCTGACCCATACAATAATTTCTATGTTGTTGTTATTGTTAAGTGCAGTTGAGTTGGTTCTGGCTCACAATGACTCTGTATAGGGTTTCCAAGGAGTGGCTTATGGGAATGCCTTGCAGTTGTTGTTGTTAGGTGCCATTGAGTCAGTACCGACTCATAGCGACCCTATGCACAACAGAATGAAACACTGCCTGATCCTGAGCTAACTTCACTACTGTTGACACACTTGAGTCCATCAATGCTGCCACTTGGCCAATCCATCTCGTTGGGGGTCATCCTCTTTTTCTCTGACACTCCACCTTATCAAACATGATATCCTTCTCCAGCAACTGGTCCTTCCTAGCAATATGTCCAAAGTATGAGAGATCAAGTTTGGCCATCCTGGCCTCCAAGGAGCACTCTGGCTGTACTTCTTCCAAAACAGATCTGTTGGTTTTTTTGGCAGCCATGGCACTTTCAATATTCTCCTCCAACACCATAACTGAAAATCATCAATTCTTCTACAGTCTCCCATATTCACTGTCCACCTTTTGCATGCATATGAGGTTATTGAAAATAACATGGCTTGAGTCAGGCATACCTTAGTCCGCAAGTTGACATCTTTGCTCTTCAATACTTTATAAAAAGGTCTTGTGCAGCAGATCTGCCCAACGCAATGCATTGTTTGATTTCTTGACTGCTGCTTCTGTGAGTGTTAACAGTTGATCCAAGAAGAATGAAGTCCTTGACAACTTCAGTCTTTTCTCCGTTGATAAGAATGTTGTTAATTGGTCCAGGGTGAGGATTTTTATTTTCTTTGAAATTGAGATGCATTTCATACTGAAGGCTGTGCTCTTTGATCTTCATCAGTAAATGTTTTAAGTCCTCTTCACTTTCAGCAAGCAAGTTGTTAATGAGTGTTTCTCCAATCCTGATGCCACGTTTTTCTTCATATAACCCAGCTTCTCGGATTATTGGCTCAGTATACAGGTTGAATAAGTATGGTGAAAGAACACAACTTTGTCGCACAGAAAAAAAGGAATCATAAAAAGAAAAAAAATAAACCCTTGCATCCTAATAAATGAGATTTCAACTAACCATTAAAAAAGGATTCAGAAACTTGAAAACTTCTTTATCTGATTTGACTGGTTGAAATATTAGCTGCATAATTTTTGCATGATTGCTGGATATTCATTTGATTATTCTAAATCATGCTGCCAATCAAAGAAAATAGTTAAAAGCATAATATGGGATCAAATAGTAAGACAGATAGACACTAAAAGGCAATTTTGGAGAAAATGATGATAAATGTGCTCTATTTAGAAATTCTTTGATCACTTGATACCTGCTCTTAAAATAATAAAATTTCAAGTATTATAAACCATTAGGAAAATAAAGATAATCTACTTGAATGATAAGGAAAACAATGCTGGTGTTATTTTAGAATATTTCCAAAGACAAATTTCCTTATCTTCCCCATTTCCACTAGCACTGAATGGCCTCTATATGACCTTCAGTTTTATATTTAGACTGTTGTTGTTAAGTGCTGTCGAGTTGGTTCTGATTCATGCTGGCCTTATATACAGGGTTTTCAAGAAGTGGCTGGTGGGTTTGAGCCGCCAGCCAACAGCTAGCAGTAGTTATCCTAATGTGCCACGCCAGATCCTAGTGTGTCACACCAAATTTAGATAGGTACATAGAAAGAAAAAAAAAATCTCAGCTGACAAGGATGGAAGGTAAACCAGGTATTAGATTATAGCTTAGAATAGAATGGACTTGAGAGAACATTTTAGACACAAATGAAAAGTGTAAACTCAATTACAAATGTGGAATACTGGTATGGCACTATAGGATAAGCACTGGAATACCAAATCCTATGAATCACAAGGTCAGCTGTTCCACGGAAACCCTATAGAGGGGTCGCTATGAGTCACAATCGACTCAATGGCATGTACCAACAACTATAAATGTAATATACACATGTAAGCCAACAGGTGTGCAAGGAGTGGTGCAAAGATCGGTGCATACATATAAGAAAAGAAGAAGCAGAGGATCAAATGCCACCTTGGATATTTAATACGCAAGCCAAAGTCAGAATCTTGAAAGTGTCAGTAACACAGCCTACATAAAGGAAAAATGGCAAATATACCATCTATGATGATGACACACAGACAAAGTGTTAATAGTATGTTTATACAAGAAGACAGGTTTTCCTAAAAAGGTAAGAAATTTTAAGTTAAGGTCCTAGGTGCAGTATCTAGATAAGCCACAATCTAGGTAAAAGTATGCAGTACTTCACGAGTACAAAATAAAAATAAAAAATAAGGAGGAACATATGAAAACATTGCTTTTTTTTAGAAAAACATAAACTGAATTCTGCTAAAGGCTTCTGTAATACAAGACCCTGAGAGATGTCAACAGACAATGGAAATAAAGGTAATTTAAAATTGGTCTTTAGTAAGAGTGATGACACAGGAGAGTTGGAAATTTACAATAATTTAGAGTTTAACTAGAAAAATAATCACAACTCTAATTATTTTCATGATACTTTGGTTTCCTACCACAGCATTTACCCTACTTCACTAATTAACTGTTTCCCATTTTTCATTTAAAATTCAGAACAGTCTGTTTTAACAGCAAAATTACATCTCCTCTAACTTGAACTACCAAATTAGACACTTCTGAAGTCCTTCTATCAAACTTCTAAAAATGGGAATTTGTAGGTCAGTTTGAACGGCAAGGTCGGTGGTTCAAGCTCACCAGTCGTTCCTTGGAAAGCCTATACAGCGTCAGTGTGGATTGGAAGCGACTGGACAGCACTTAACACCAGCATAGAGGGTACAGAGGTGTCTCGTGTGTCCACCTCAGTGAGGCAGACCTTTAGAGTGCTTTGCAGCCGGCACTCCTCTCATGGAGGAGCTGGAGCTCACACAGGAGTTCAGAAGACTCAGGATAAAAGAACTCATAACAAACCAACACTCTTTGTCAGTACTGTAACCTGCACATCCACAGTTAAAGCATGTAATTAGTATTTGCTTAATAAATATGTCTGGGGCACTTGTTGCTAAACGCCATCGAGTCAGTTCCAACTCATAGCTGGTGGGTTTGAACCACTAACCTTGCAGTTAGCAATCTATGCATATCCTAGAGAGGTACTTTGTTGTTGTTAATTGCCAGTGATTCAGTTCTGACTCATAGTGACCCCGTATAGGGTTTTGGAGGAGCAGCTGGTAAATTTGAACCTTGCAGTCGAGTACTTCCTCTACAACACCACACCAGGACTCTGTGCAAGAATCATATGAGATGATGAGCTGACTGCTATAAGCACTTGGGACACTAAAACAAGGAAGACACCGTACTACAACTAAGTAATCTCCTGTCTCTGCCATCCAGTGGATTCTGACTCACAGTGACTCCATATAGGGTTTCCGATGCTGTAAATCTCTGCAGAAGCAGAAAGCCTTACCTTTCCTCCACAGAGCTGCTGACCTTGCAATGAGAAGTGCAGTGCTTATCGTACAGCACCACCAGAACTCCTTAAGAAAGGTAATACAACTTTCAAAATATAGTGATTGTAGTTACATGATAATCACAAAAATTCAGAGAACAGAAAGCAACATAAGTAAAAAAACAACAATGAAAATCATAAAACCCTCAAAAAGGCAAGTTGCTTCATTTGTTCAATAAAAGTATATTCTAAAAGCATGTTGAAACAAATGCCTAGCTTATGATAATACTTCTTGCATTTGAATTAAGGTGTCAGTGTAGAATACTGCAAGTACTAGAGATTGCCAGAAGAACAAACAAATCTGTCTTGGAAGAAGTACAGCTAAAATGCTCTGTAGAAGTAAGACTTTATCTCATATACTTTACACATGTTATCAGAAGTGCACAGGGTTAGCGACAAAGAAGAGAACCCCTAACAAGATGGACCGACACAGTGGCTGCAACAAGGGGCTCAAACATAGCACTGTCCACAGGACTGGGGTCACTATGAACGGGAGCAAAACAGCAATTACTTCTGGTATTCACATTCCTAAAGCTGTTTCAAGTTGCTACTGTTTCAAGTGATTTCTCCTTTTTAAGATTTTTATAGTGCCTTATCTGTGCCATGTTGTTATTTCTCTGAACAATAAACATGTTACAACATCACAGAGTTGTAAGAACAATAAAACTTATTCATAATTATTTGAAAACACAGGATTCTAAACTAAGTCAATAACAATAAAATAGTGTTAAGTGCAAAAAAGATACATAGATAGGAATATACCTCTGAGAAAAACATGAATCAAGAAAATAAAAACAAATCAAAATGGAGAGCTTTAAAACAAAAAGAAAGGTACTGCAGCATTACACACGCTACCTTTTTGTGGGCATAGGATCCGGTATCATGTAGTACTGCCACTCTGAACGGAGGCCACCACGTGTGAAATTCTTTCACCCACTGATGCATCACTGTTGTTGGACAGACAATTATAGTTGGCCCCAACCCCTCGAACCTGCACCCAAAATATTCAAGAAGAGAGTACAACCATGAAAGATCGTAGCAAACTGAACGAGCACACCACCCCACAAAAAATCTTAACAATTCAAAACAGAAAATGCATTGGTATTTTCTTTTTTTAAGGAAGTAATTTTATTTTCTTTGCCACAAAAGTTATCTTTTCATGCCGAGGAGTTTTTCTCTGAATACTTGCATCCCTAATTGAAGAATGGGATCACAGAGAGCTTATTTACTAGGTAACCAAAATAGTCTTCTCTCTCCTTCTATTCCAGGTAGGGACATTATCTCAGTGTATCTCATGAGTTGAACTGTGTCCCCCTTAAATATGCATCAACTTGTTTGTGCCATGAGTCTCACTGGTTTGGCAGTTGTGTAATGATACAATCACCCCAGGATGTGATCAGCCCTGAATCTAATGCAATCATCCTCTGTATTGTAAATCCATACTTCTGTGATATCAATGAGGCAGATCACACTGTATTTTAAGCCAAATAGGAAAGTAGAGTCAGAGGGACCCACTACCACCACAGCAGGAAAGGCATCCTTTGGACCAGGGGTCTCTGCACTGTAAAGCTCCTAGATCCAAGAAAGGATTGATGACAAGGCACAGGAAGATCTCCAAGGAATGCTGGGTCTACAGATGGTGAAAAGAGACTCAAAAACAGTCATAGGGTGACTGAGAGAGCCCGGTACAAAGACTTATGTATTAGGATAGACATCACAGCATTATTTATACTGTAGAGAAAGTGAACACTACCTCCATTTCCCCATGGCTTTACAGTAGCACAGGCTAGCGGAAGCACTGCCCCTGTCAGAATAGCCCTGCTTCTGTCTTACGTGATCTTGAGCACATTACTAAACCTTCTGAACCTCCCTTTCTCATCTTAAAATGGAAATAGTAGTACAGGATCATTATGAAGAATAAATCATTTAATATCTATAAAGGACTTAAAACAATACCTGGAATATAGTAAACCCCATGTAAATGCTAGCTAACTAAGATGGCATATCATATCAACCACTGAAAACATGGAGAAGTGCTTCTAACCTAAAACAACAAGATTTATGCAATCATCTCAGCCCACAGGTAGATCAGTCCACTCACTGTCATGACCACTATCACAACATCCTGTGTCCTCTATCTTCTTCCTAACGGTCACATATTTGTGCAGTAACTCTGCTCCTTCCCAGAGACATGTGCTTTACAGAATACTGATCAATTGCTTTCGGAAGGAGGGGCGAAGTGGAGAAGTGGGACTACCAGTTCATCTAACACATTCCAGTGACTACCAGTCAACCATTACCAGTCAACAAAGCTGAAAGGAAGAACTTACATTTTAGGTTGGGGGAGAATTTCCTCTCTTGCTTTTGCATGTTACATATGAATAAGGGAACATATAGCATAATGGCCACCAGGCGATGGGGTTATAATAGCAAGATCTTATGATCACAAGAAGAGCTGGTCTTGGGAAGAAATTAAACTACCTGGATCCTTAACGGCATCACTGAGTTGCTGATCATGTTGCCTTTACAATTCACCCTTTCTGGAGGTTTCCAGGTATACCATAAATTTTACTTATCTACCAGCACTCCTGATTTGGCACTGTAGAATAAGCACTGGACTGCTAACGACAAGGTCACTGGTTCAAACCCACCAGCTGCTATTCGGAATCCCTATACAGGGTTACCATGAGTTGGAACTGACTCAACAGCACTTACCACTACCAATAACCAGCAGCCAAAGTATCCTAATACATTATGTACTCATCCTGCCTCCTTCTCTCCAATTACTACGGAACAAGTTATTTTTCTTGTCTGAGACACCTAGGCTCATAAGCCCATACCTCCAAAACATCAGTCCCCAAGGTTCCCCTGTCCTGTAGCCACTCTGTCTTCAAGCTTGTCAAGGGATGGATGCTAGTCAGTGCATAGATAAAAGTTAAGCAGAAATCAAAACCATCAACGGGAGCTGTGAACGGACTCACACTCAGCTCATGAGGTTACAGGAGGCAATTGGGAGCCAACACTGATGTAAGGCAGTCATCGCTCACAAGGTCCCTGGCTCATTCTGGCACAACCACTGGGACTATTTAAACTGTCATATTCCCCTTCCTCTACCATTTATGATCAACAAATACATTGACTATTTGAAATGAAATGTGCATACACTACTCCACTGTTCAGTCTGTCCCTGGACTATCTCAACTCCCAAAGTTTCAACTACTATCTACACACTGTTGTTATTGTTACTGTTGGTAAGTGCCGTGGAGTTGGTTCTGACCCATAGCAACCCTGTCTATGGTTTCCGAGGCTGTAAATCTTTATGGGAGCAGAAAGTTTCATCTTTCTCCCGAAGAACTGCTGGTAGTTTCGAACTGCTGACCTTGAGGTTAGCAGTCCAACTCGTAACCACTGTGCTACCAGAGCTCCTAACTGTTGTTATTAGGCACGATTAAGTCAGCTCCAACTCATGGCGACTTCCTGTGTAACAGAAGGAAGCTCCGGCCTGTCCTGTGCCATCTGATGATTAGATCTATGTTACCAGTCATCTCCTTCCTGAACTCCCAACTAAGCATGTGTCTATTTAACTGCCAGCCCTTCCCACTCCCATCCTGTTTCCTAGTCTAATCAACAGGCTGATCACTCCTTCTCCAGGTGTCCAAACTGGAAATCTGGGCACCACCCTTCTCACTCCCTCTTGATCTCTATCACATCCAACCTATTCCTAACTCTCTCTCTCTCTAAGTCACTTATGTCTGTCTAACCACATGGTCACTGCTTCAAGTTTAAGCTGCTGTCTCTCACCTCTCACTTGGATGCCTGTAACTTTCCAGCACGATAACTTAAAAAAAAAGAATGTCTTCTCTTTCCATTGTCTAAAAAGCCTTCAGTGGTCACCACAGTCCTTGAGACAGAGTCTATAGCCCCTTAAATGGTCTATTAGACATGAGCATCTTACTCTGCTCACCCCCCTCAGCCTAATCCCTCACTTCCCTAGTTCTGCCCCTCATACTCACAATTCAGCACCTCACCAACTCGAACTTGCTTCCATTTCTTAAAGATACATACCTGTCCAGCTTCTCCTCTTTAGACTAGCTCCTTCTTAGCCTTGTAGCCTAGGCAGCGTCTACTCACCCTTCAGATTTCAGTGGGGCTAGTACTTCCTTCACTGTCCCTTATTCTTCAGGCGGGCTAAGGACCCATCTTGTGCATCCACGCTAGCAAGTGCCCTGTACCAAACCTGTAATATCACTTGTTGTAGCTGCTAAGTACTACTGAGTCAGTTCTGAGGCGTGCCTGGTGGGTTTGAACTGCTGGCCTTGTGGTAAGCTATCTAGTGTGTATCCTGTTGTTGTTGTTAAATGTCGCCGAATCCATTCCGACCCATAGCGACCCTGTATTGGGTTTCCAAGAAGCAGCTGGTGAGCTTGAACCACCAACCTTGCAGTTCAAACTGACTTTACAGCCCAGCACATTAGCCTGAACTGCACAGCAGGACTCCAGTGTCTATCCTGCAGGACTCATACTGCATCACTTAGCAACTGTATTTAAACTGCTTACATCTCTTCTGAGACCCATGAGGACAGAGACAGTCTCTTCTTTGATTTCAGTACCTAACCCACAGTACTTGAAATATTAAAGTTTATCTGCATAGCTGAAAAAGAACCTGTAATTCTAATGAGAAAAACTGAAATTTTAGTCAAGCCATATCATAAATGCAAACCATAAAAGGAAAAGGCTACATGTTTGTACTATGTCCTAAAGGATGCTATCTCCACGCCCTTGGTGACTCCAATGTGAGAAAATGCCTCTATCTACATCTAGATTCTTTCCACTTCTCACCGACCAAACCCACTGCCATGAAGTTGATTCCAAGTCACAGTGACCTTTACGGGGGTAGAAAGTCTGATCTTTTTCCCATGGAGCCGCTGGTGGGTTTCAACTGTCAGCTCTCACCTAAAGTCACAGCCATCGACTTGTTTAGTAAAAAGGATATGTAGTCAACAAAAAAGCCAGCGACTACAGCAGCTTATTACATCTTTTTGTAGACATTGCAAGCCATGACTCTCACCAAGGTGTACTGAATACACGGAAGTGACCCTGTACAGGTACCACCTCAAGGTTCCCTGGGAAGAGCAGTGACTTGACCCCACCCCCTTGTTCCTTGCTAAAAAAGGACTTAATGGACAAGTCTTTCTATGACTTCAGAGAGGAATAAAAGAGAATGATCTTCAATATGGGTTTAGTAGGAATTAGGTAAAAAAAAAAAAAAGCAATCAAAAGCTATCTAAAAATATAAAAACAAACCCACACTCAGAAAACATAAATACAAATACACCTATTCCTCACTTGTCAACAACGGTCAGTTTCCATAGACCAGGTCATCATGTGAAAACTGACATTATGTGAAAATGGAGAATGACCACATCTGACCACAAACTGGAAGATGGGCTAAAATCATTATATAGCTGCCAAATGATACCATTATATAACAAACTACTGAGACTGTGGTCCAGCCAAGTTGACATACAACCTTAACCAGTGTTACTCTTGTCTCTCACCCTGGTGTTCATTACTGTCCCATGCATGTTAGTGTGCAAAATAGTCAAGTGAGGAGTAAATGCATTATTTTTCATGTTATATAGCATTTTTTCTTTTTTTCTTTTAACATACCTTCTGTACACTGCCATATTAATAAATTCATACTTTGTCATTTGAGGTATTTTATTCTGCCTAAACATCTATGGGCATTATAATAATATGGTCTAAAATAATGCCCACAGGTGTTTATCCAGTCTACCTCTCACAAGAAAATATGCAGAGTTTTACACTGAGTTAAATTTTAGGAGCAAACCTAGATTGGGCCACAGTAAGGCAATAAAAGTCCACTAATAGTCTGACTCGACGGCACTTAACAACAACAATAAATAGTCTCATAAACTGAAGCACCCCTTTATCAATCCTAATACCAGATGAGCCTTATAAGCAATGACTAAATGTATTAGAGTGGTTCGCATCAATTACTAAATGGGCTTCGATCCCTTTCATCTTTGATTTTCATTGATTAACAAACCAAGGGCAGGCCAATATCTCCATGGTCAAACACTTCAACCAACAAGATGAAAGTCTGTTGATCACAGTCTTGATTTGTGTGGTGCTGTGGACTAATGCCTCAGATTGCAAAGTTGTTTGAACTGCAAGGTTGGTGGTTCAAGCTCACCAGCTGCTCCTTGGAAACCCTATACAGGGTCACTATGAGTCAGAATCGACTAGATGGCACTTCACAACAACAAAGTAAAGTATTTACTTTGAAAGTTTATGAACATTTTCAGGTTACTTATTCATAATAAGGAATTTAGCAAATGATATACTCGATGGCACTTAACAACAACAACAACAATACAAGATGTTAAAGCACCAACTGTAGTTGGAAAGGTAAAAAATTTATTTCTTCTCCCGCATAAGATTTAGGGAACCTGTCCTGGTGTGGCGCTGTGGGTTAAATGCGCCAGAGTGCAAAGCCACTTGAACTGCAAAGTTGGTGGTTCAAGCTCACCAGTTGCTCCTTGGAAACCCTAAACAGGGTCGTTATGGATCGGAACCGATTCAACGGCACTTAACAACAATACATGAAGTAGGAGTCCTGGTGTGGCGTTGTAGTATAAGCACTGGAATGCAAGGTTAGTATGAACCTCAAGATCACTAGGAGCTGAAACCAACTCAATGGCATTTACCAACACCACCATCACCAATAAAATAAAGGGATCCTAGTGGTCCTGGTGTGACCCTGTGGGCTACTGTGTCTGACTGCAAAGTCATTTGATCTGTAAGGTTGGTGGTTCAAGTTCACCAGCTACTCCTTGGAAACCCTACACAGGATCGCTATGGGTAGGAATTGACTCAACGGCACTTAACAACAACAGTGGCATAATGGTTTAGCATTTGGCTGCTAATCAAAAGGTCAGAAGTTCGTGCCTACCAGGTGCTCTGTGAGAGAAAACAAAAACCTGATGATCTGCTCCCATAAAGAACTACAGAGCTGTTCTACTGTCATAATTGACTTGATAGCACGACAATATCACACAATACGAATGACAAAGTGAAAAGAAGGTACACAGTAAGTATGAACTGGGAACACAAAAACCAGCATACGTTTTTATTAACCATATTATAATACATTTCTGGGAGTTCTGGGTGGTGCAAAGAGTTAAGCACTCTGCTGCTAACCAAAAGGTTGGTGGTTCGAATCCACCCAGAAGCACCTTGGGAGAATGATTTAGTACTCAATCTAAAAAATCAGCCACTGAAAAACCTTTGGAGCACAGCTCTACTTTAATACACATGGAATTGCTGTAATTAAGAACGGATTTGATGACACTAGTTTGGTTTTTAATATGCTTCTGCCTCCTTTTAAAACAAACATAGATACAAAACACATAAAATATTCTTTTGCCATGAGAGTCACTACTCTAGAAACTTACACTATTTCAGTGTTCATGGACCTTTAAAATTGGAACACTAAGACCATCTCAAATTGGACCCCAAATATCTACAGCTTGCAAAATTCAGAGAAAATGTGCCAATGAAGAAATACTAGTTAACACAGAACTTCATTTGACATCAAGGGCTGACAATTTTTCTTTAAGACATAAACCCTGAGAAAGGCATGTTGTATAGGATTCACTCTGACATATTTAAGGAGGGGACTAAGCTCTTTAGTATACCCCTATTGACAAATAGTCCAGTTGTTTGGATGATAGACGAGGGAGCTTCAGAATGTTTGTGGGAAAAGTCCATTATCTTTTAATTTCATTTTTCCAAGAACTTTTTGAAGCCCCTTCATAAAACCACATTCTGGGAAGCCATTTCTACCAATACTATATTAATAAAGATGATCTGGGCTATGATCCACACTATTTCATTATGAAAAAGACAATATGCACGTGGATAGTTAATTGATTACAGCTGCTGCTCCCCATTAGCCATGATTTCACTCCTAGTAGGATTATCACAACTTGAGAGAGCATGTTTTAATTTTTAGATCAAAACTACACTTCAGGGATGACTTTTGTTTTCTAAGCTAGAGTATCTGATTCCATGTACATTTCATGATAATAGGAAGGGAAGGGAGGAAAGAGATGGTAAATTTAAAAAACTCCCAAAAATCATTTATGGAAAGAAAGACAATGCTAGAAAGCATATGGGGTAGCTTGGAGCATGGAGCATTTATTTCAGTTATCAAAAACGAAAAACAAAACCAGTGGAATCACGTTAAGTCAAGTCAACCAAAGGCTTGACTTTTCCTTTGGGCTGGAATGTTTTCACGTGCTTCCAGTCAAAATACAATAGAATTCTAGTATGTGTAGAAAATCCCCTGCTTCTACACAACAACTTTGAAAATATCAAGAATGAAATATTTCTGATTTAAAATTATTAAAATGCTTTGCTGCCTTATATTTATATAAAAGCAACTGTTGTTGTTATATGCTGTGGAGTCGGTTCTGACTCATAACGACCCTGTACAGGGTTTCCAAGACTATAAATCTTTATGGGAGCAGAAAGCTTCATCTTTCTAAGGAACAGCTGGTAGTTTCGAACTGCTGACTTTAAGGTTTGCAGCCTGATTCGTAACCACTACACTACCAGAGCTCCTATAAAAGCAACTAGTGTATTTAAAATATGCTAAAACTTCAAACTCTTCACAAAAGTGTTGATCTGCTAAATTGATGAAAGGGTCAGTAATAAAAACAAAACACTAAACTCTAAAGCCTAAAACAATGTTCCCAATTCATAGTTCACATTTGGCTACTCCCAAAGAGTAGGACTGCAACATGCTGACTCGACTTCAGGTACCAAATACTATTTAAAGGTGTCCCCAAATCAGATCAAGAGAATGACTAAGGTTCCTATGACAACAATCTGGTAAGTATCTTGCTGTTACTTACCAGATAAGCATATTGAAACCAACAGAGCTACAGGATCATCTGGGTTCAAGAATAAATATTCTACATGATTTATCCAGCAACATATTTTTCAAAACTGATTTACAGAAAGTAATTTACACCTTAAATAGGGAGATTCTCACAGTACTTACGATAAAGTATCTCAGTCTCACCATACACAATTAACACAAATTGTTTTTGTTATTAAGAGCCATCAAGTTGGTTCTGACTCATAGTGACCCTGTATAGGGTCCCAAGGAGCAGCTGGTGAGTTTGAACCATCACCTTTGTGGTTATTAATCTAGTTATATGCTTATTATATAAGAATACTAAAGCCCAAATAACTTACACTTCTAAAGAAAAGAAAGATTAAAATCTAAACGCAGTGTTCTATATTTTTGAACAGCCATTTAGATTTTGGCTTCAGAATTTATAGAAAAATTCTCAAAGATTGGAGAAGGGATTAAAAATCATGCTGAATAGCTGGTATAGAAATTAATTTCATTTGAAAAAGGAGAAGAAAAAAAGCTATGTATAAACGCTGTAATGAATACTGATTATAAAGGAAGTCCAGGAGAATGGCATCTCCAAAGCTGCAACTTTCCCCATGAACAGACTTGTACTTACTGTAATGCTCACCTGGTCTCCTGCCAGAACAAATATTTTAATGTAAAATTTAATAAATGGAACAAAAGTTATTATGTCTACTTTAAAATTCCATATTGTGTAAACTATTGATATGAATGTAATTGAGTTTGTAAACAATCCATTTGTAAAAGCTAACCTTAGACATCGTATTGACCCAGAATATCTAGTGGGGCTCATCTGCAAAATGAAGCATCAATGCCTGGAATTCATTAAAAGTGTTACATGTTTAATTTCTCCTGCCCTACAGCTCTATTGTCTCGTAAAAATTTTCCTTTGATGTCCCCCACTAAAAGAATTAAAGGAATATTGTAATTGAAATGTCATCAATAATTCACAAGACCCTCCTCCACAGCAATACATCTGATGAAATATTAATTGAGCTCCACAGACTGACAGTCTGCAGAGGAGCACTTGCCTGTAATTTGAACCACGAGTCCTAATCTTGCTGTAGCTCAGACCTGCCAAGAAGGCAATTATCTGGATGGTCTTGCCCAATCCCATTTCGTCTCCCAGAATTCCTCCTACCTGCTGGCAGTGCAATTCCCACAGCCACCTAACACCTGTCTGCTGGTACCTAAAACAACAAACACCAACAACAAAAAAGAAAATAGCAAATGTTGGATAATACATATCATAACAGAAAGTACTCATGAATTAATCATTTGGCTAGGTTCTTGTACTAGTCATAGCAACATGCCGGATGTGTGTTTTACATGAGTATTATATTTATAAGGTCATACATTTTTGATCACCTAGGCATAAAATCACAATTTTTTCTTTACAGAACGTTAACACGTTTCTAATTAAACTGATAAATGGGATAATTAGGAGGTTATTTCATTTCTTTTTCAACATTAGAAATAGCTTGGTAAACAAGCATAAACTTATTACCTTGTATTCACTATCTTTCTGGAGGAAAAAACTCCAAATAATTTTAGTATATAAAGTTTCATTAATTTTTTTCAACAAAAAAGCTATATTAATGTTTATTTTTTGCAATCGGACTGGCATCAAAAGAGCAAGACAGAGGACATTACAATTTACACCTTATACAGCTGAAGTCACTTGGTAATTGTATTATTATTTTATAAGAAAAATTAAATTTTAAGGTCACAAGCTAGTCTAAATAACAGGCTACTCTCAAAATTAGTACCTAACAGATGATTCTGTTATATTACAAGCAGATACGAAAGACCAGCTTAAAGACCTAACAATACAAAATGAAATAAAGGCTATGGAACGTCTTTGAAAGGATAATTTGGAAATGGCCTTTTACTATTGTAAACCAAAACTAGATTATGATTTTATCATAGATACAAAGATCTGAGAAAGTAACATTTTAAATAAATGACTAAGATACATATGGAGTCCTGGTGTGGCTCTGTGAGTTAATCTGCTGGACAGCAAAGTCAGTTTGAACCTTAAGGTTAACAGTTAAAGTTCGCCAGACACCCTCGGAAACCCTATACAGGGTCACTATGAGTCGGAACTGACTTGACGGCAGTTAACAACAACAACAATATATATATAGATAGAAGTACCCTATAGTGGTGCCGCAGGATAAGCCCTGGACTGCTAACTGAAAGGTCGGTAGCTCAAACCCATCAGCCCCTTGGAAACCCAATACAGGGTCGCATGAGTGAGAAACGACTTGACGGCACTTAACAACAACATATGTATAAAATAATATTTAATAACATAGATACAAAAAGATCAGAGCTATTAACGTTCTAAATAATAATATTTCTCCTGGCGCTGTGGGTTAATGCGCCAGACTGCAAAGCCGTCTGAACTGAAAGGTTGGCGGTTAAAGCTCACCAGCTGCTCCTTGGAAACCCTATACAGGGTCGCTATGGTTCGGAACCGACTCAACGGCACTTCACAACAACAACAAACAAAAATAAACAGATAGCACAGGAAGTGGTATTTTCCTTTCTCCACCAATACATTTTACACCCTAAAAGAAAATGAAAAGGAGTAACACACAAAATGTGAGAGCAAAAGAAAGATTTACATCATGAAACAATATGAAGATTATGTTGTTATTAAATGCTGTCAAGTTTGTTCCAATTCATATAGACCATGTATAAGGTTCCCAGGAGCAACCTTGTGGTTAGCAGTCCAGTCCTTATCCTAAAGCACTATAGCAAGACTCAATGAAGATTATAACCATTCAAAAACAAAATATCTTGTTGTTGTTAATTGCCATGAAGTCGGTTTTGACTCATAACAATTCTGTATAGGGTTTCCAAGGTGTGGCTTGTGGGTTTGAACTGCCAATCTTTTGGTTAGCGGTGCAATACTTACCCTACAGAGCCACACCAGAACAAAATATACTTAAGTTATAAGATAATGAAAACTAAAGGATATATTTTTTAAGACAACAACAAGGCTAATGAGCTCTCACATTGAAAAAATAATGTTTGTTGCTGTTTTACTGCTCAAAGATACACTAATTACTGCTTGATGTCTTATCTAAAGTTTCATTTGGTTTCACTTGATATCCTCTCAGTATACATGTCATAATTGACAGCTCTTCTCCCCTCTGTATTTTGAAAATTGATTTTGGAAGTGTGACTATTGCCAATATTATCCATCATAGAAGGAAAACATTAACTGAGAATTTGCTGCTTATTATATATAATACTTATATATATATATGTATTTTATATGGAGTCTAGATGTAGCACTGTAAGCTAAGCACTAGACTGCTAACCACAAGGTTGGTTGTTCAAACTCACCAGTCATTCCTCAGAAATCTTAGGGTTACTATGAATTGAAAAGAACTCAACAGCACTTAGCAACAAAAACACATATACACTGGGTATCCAACTTGGAGAACAGGATTAAAAATCAAAACAAAATAAAGTTTAATATGGATATGTTGTTGTTGTTAAGTGCCATCAAGGAAAGCCAAAGAATAACGGCTGCCACTTAGGAGCCTACTGCCAGGAGGCACTAGGCCAAATGTTTTGGATATAGCCTTACAACACCAGAAAAAGATGATCAGCCCATTTTACAGGTAAGGAAAGGAAAGCTCACAGAGTTTAAGTAACTTGCCAAAGACCACACTGGTAAAAAATAAATAAATAAAAGAGCAAGTCAAAATTCAAATCTAGAACCACATGGTTCCAAAATTTACTTTGCAGATAATCTAAACCAGTGGTTATCAGTCGGGGGAAATCCTGCTGCCCAGAGAATATGTGACAATATTTGGACACATTTTGGGTTGTTTGTTACAAACAGATGAGCACAACTGTCAGCAGGTAGAGGCCAGTGATGTTAATCAACTTCCTACAATGCACAAGGGATAGTTCCCACACAAAGAAACTCAGGCAAAAATGTCAAATGTGTGAGGCTGAGAAACCCTGACATAGAAAAAACGCAGACTCATGAAGTAGTTACATTGGAATCTCAGCTTTGGAAAAATGTTGTTGCTGTTAGGTTCATTAGTGACCCTATGCACAACAGAACAAAACACTGCCAGGTCCTGCGCCATTCTCGTAATTGTTGCTACGCTTAAACCCACTGTTGCTGCCACTGTGATGATTTGTTTTGTTGAGGATCTTCCTCTTTTTCGCTGACCTTCCACTTTACCAAGCATGATGTCCTCCAGGGACTGATGATGTGTCCAAAGTATGAGAAATAAAATCTCGCCATTCTGGTTTCTGAAAAGCATTCTGGCTGTACTTCTTCCCACACAGGTTGGTTTGTTCTTCTGGAAATCCATGGTACTTCTAATATTCTTCTCCAATACCGTAACTCAAATGCATTGACTCTTCCATGGTCTTCCTTATTCATTGCCCAACTTAAACATGCATATGGGGGCTACTGAATATACCATGGCTTGGGTCAGGTGCACCTTAGTCCTTAAACTGACTTCTTTGCTCTTGAACACTTTTTTAAAGAGGTCTTGTGCAACAGATTTATCTAATGCAATACTTTTATTTCTTGACTGCTAGTTCCATGACTGTTGATAGTGGATCCAAGCAAAATGAAGTCTTTGGTAATTTCAACCTTTTCTCCATGTAACATGATGTTATTTACTGATCAAGTTGTGAGGATTTTTGTTTTCTTTACATGCCCATATTGACAAAATATACATTCTAAAAAGCTCTCCAAATGGTTTGATGTATAGTTTCCAGAATCACTGAATTCTAGTCAATCAACCTCCGTTCACTGAATTTCAGAGCAATGGGACCAGCGCCTGTGGTACAGTGGGTACCAAGATTTCCCAGTGGACATTTTAGCATCTGACCACTGCACCACACTGCCTCCATACAATACGGGCCCAAGATTTGTGTGTGTTTGGGACCAAAAAACTGAAAGGATAAGAAAAGGAGATATCAAGAGATCCTAAAAGGAATAAGAAGCAGATCAAGTATGGCAACTAGAAGTCTAGGAAGGAGTTAGGGCTTGTGGATTTTGTGTGACCAGGAGAAAAGTTACAGTTTGGTGGGTGTGTTTTCTTATCTACAAATGTAATCTCCAAGGACTTTCAAGCTGAACATAATTGTTTGTTTACAAAAGGATAATTAGCACTGAAGAAATTACTTAAGAAAAAATTACACCTAATCTTCACACTTATTAACTATTTTATTATTTGACATTTCACATTTACAATAATAAAAAAAAAATCTACTATTCGACTATTTTGTGCATTAACGACATACATGTAGCAATAATGAAAGCTGAGAAGAAGGTTGGCTGTGATAGTTAGGGTTGTGTGCCAACTTAGGCCATGATTCTGTGGTTTGGCAGTTATATAATGATATAATATTGTTGCTGTTGTTGTTAGGTGCCATGGAGTCAGTTCTGACTCACAGCGACCCAATGCACAACAGAACGAAACACTGCCCAGTCTTCACAATTGTTATGTTTGCTGCCACCATGCCAATCTATCTCCTTAGGGAGGCTTCTTTGTTTTCTGACTCTCCACTTTACTGAGCATGATGTCCTTCTCCAGGTTAGTCCCTCTTGAATTGTGCCCAAAGTATGAAAGCTGAAATCCAACCATCCTGGCTTCCAAAGTACATTCTGATCGCACCAATTTCAAGACACCTTAGTCCTCAAACTGGTATCTTTGATCTTTAGATATATAAATAAAAACACTTTAAAGAGGTCTTGTACAACAGATTTTTTGCCTTATGCAACAAGTCATTTAAATTTTTTTTAAATAAGTTTTTGTTTTATTTTTATTATGATTTTTTATTTCCAGAGCATTAACTATCTCATTTATGAAGTCCTGCTATGACGCTGTAAGATAAGCACCAGACTGCTAACCACAAGGTCAGTGGCTCAAACCCACCAGTCTCTCCTTAGAAACCCTATACCAGGTCACTATGAGTGGGAAGTGACAACACCAAAAACTATTTCATTTGACCTGTCCCCGTCCCCCTCACCCCGCCACTAAACTTTGTTTAGTAAGAGGGCAAGTCCAGCCCAGGTACAGCAACTGATGTCAAGCTGGGGCAGGTTGCTTTTGGGGAACGTGCCAGAAGCTGTGAGCAGCTGGTAGCCCAGGGCAGGGAAGGAAAGCTTTGTACCCTGAACCCTGAATCACCCTGGCCCAGTCACAACAGTTGCTAAGCCCCTTGTCCCATCTATAAACTTCAGTGACACCACAGGCCTAACCTAATGCCTAGAACATTGTGTAATAGAAGATCTGTATACTGTAAAATGCTGTGTTCTTGGTCTGCTGATTAGAAATGAGAATATCTGATTTTATCTCAAACTTAACTCGTTTGATTTCTTGACTGCTGCTTCCACGAGTGTTGATTGTGAATCCAAGCAAAAGGATGTCTTTGACGTTCATCTGTCCTCCATTTATCAAGATGTTAGTTACTGGTCTAGTGGTGAGGATTTTTGTTTTCTTTACACTGAAGCACAAGCCACAACAAAGGCTTTAGTCTTTGATCTTCATCAGTATGCATTTTAAGTCCTCTCTGCTTTTAGCAAACAACGTTTTATCATCTGCATATTACGGGTTGTTGATTAACTTTCCTCTAATCCTTATGCCACATTCTTCTTCATATAATTTAGCTTCTTGGATTATTTGTTCAAGGATGTAATATGGTAGTTATGTAATGATGTTTCCTGGAAGATGCTAATGATGTGAACCTTAAGGTCAGCAGTTCGAAACTACTAGCTGTTCTGCAGGAGAAAGATGAGGCTTTCTGCTCCCGCAAAGATTTACAGCCTCGGAAACCCTGTGCAGGGTCACTACAAGTCAGAGCAGACTCCACGGCACACAACAACAACATTTCCCATCAGATGTAAGCATCACCAAATAACCACAGGTAACTGGTATAACTTGGTTTTGTCACATTAGCCCAAGATTACATTTTCACAACTGTGGCTGAAAGTAAGATCAAAAGACTGAAATTTGTCATTTGATTGCTTAATTATGTAGAAGAACGCATTTGCTGGGCAAACTCTCAAGACAGAATTTAAAAAGTTAAACATTATCTTGCAGAAAATAGCACTTAAATAGATAATTGTACCTTCTGACTCCCTTGAGTACAACTATACTGTTAATTTAATTTTAGAGTGTAGTAAATACAGTAAAAATACATCTACAGTTTAAAATTAAATTGGTCTAGCTAATCACAAAAGAAAATTGCAGTCTCTAACAATCCCATTAATTTTTTTATACAACAGATGAAATAAGAAGTTTTAAAATACTTAAAGTATTTAAAACACTTGTTATAGAGACAAAAACAATAAAATAGTTTCCAGGAATTTGCAATTAAAACTAAATTTAAAAACACACATTATTAGTATTAACCTTTATAGAGTTAACACTGAACCTCATCTACTCTTAGTAAGCAAAGATTGGATCTATTAACTGTGAATTTTCTAGGCTAGAAAACCTGACATTTAAACAAAAATACACATTCAACTTGACTCTTGAGGATACTTGCCAAATCACTTACTACACATGTAGAAGTATCTTGTCCTCGTTAAATCAATTTAATCTATAATTTGGGTATTCTTTTTGCTAGTACAACACTGATACTATTTGGACTGTTCATTAATAAGCAATCACTTTAGAGAAGATGAAAAGAGTTGCCAATATATGTTGTCTTTATTTACCTTTAATAGTTAATTTTCATTTGGGAACAATAAATAAAGTAGCCACCTCTCAAGACTATAAAATGAATCATCGTCAAAAATTAGTGGTGCGATTCAAACTTGAATTTCTCGGCAGCTCTTCTGCTTTACTATAACAAGCCAACAAGTCACTTCGCATCTGTAGGAGTCAACGCTCCTACATGTCAAACTCACCGCCATCAAGTCTATTCTGACTCACAGCAACTGTGGACAGGGTTTCTGGGGCTTTATGGTAGCAGAAAGCTTCATCTTTCTCCTGCAGAGCAGCTGGTATGTTTGAACCGCCGTCTTCTTGGTTAACAGTTCAGTGGTTATCCTACAGCACCACCAGGGCTCCTTCCTATGTTTGTTGTTGTTGTGAAGTGCCGAGTCGGTTCCGACTCAGCAACCCTAGGTACAATAGAACAAAATGCCCTGCATCATCCTCACAATTGTTCTGTTTGAGCCCACTGCTGCAACCACTGTGTCAATCCATCTCGTTGGGGTCTTTGTTTGTTTTGCTGCTCCTCCATGATGTCCTTCCCCAGGGACTGGTCCCTCCTGATATGTCCAAAGTACAGGAGACACAGTCTCGTCATCTTCCAAGACAGACGGGTTCTTCTGGCAGTCCAATATTCTTTGCCAACACCATAATTCAACTGCATCAATTCTTCTACGATTTTCCCTTATTCTCTGTCTTACTTTTATATGCATATGAGGCTGGCTTGGGTTAGGCACACCTTAGATCACAAAATGACAGCTTTGCTCTTGAACACTTTAAAGAGATCTTATGTAGCAGATTTGCCTAATGCAATACGTGTCGTTTGATTTCTTGACTGCTGCTTCCATGAGTATTGGTTGTGAAGCTAAACAACTGAAGTCTCTGATGTCAATCTTTTCTCCATTTATCATGATGCTATTTATTGTTCCAATTGTGAGAATTTTTGTTTACTTTACACTGACGTGCAATCCATACTGAAGGCTGTAGTCTTTGTTCTTCACTAATCAGTAAGTATCTCAAGTCCTTCTATATGTTTAGTGGGATAAAATAGCTATCCTCCTCCACTTATTGCTCCCAACACAGAAAATTTTAAACTATAAAATCAACTCCCTCAGAGAAAATATTAAAGCACGCCATTTTTAAGTGCACATTTCATACCAACATAGGGCACGGATGACAGCTGAATACAGAAAGAAAGAAGTTTGCATCCTGCTCCCAATGACCAATTGATGGCCCAAAAAAAGAATAAAGCACTAGACTGCTAATTGCAAGGTTGGTGGTTCCCACCAACCAGCCACTCTTTGGAAACTATACCACGTTGCTCTGAGTCAGAACCCACTTGAAGGCACTTAACAACAAACATACTCAAATTTAAGGTTTCCTGAATTATCTTGTTAAGCAAATACTAGGAGAAATGACAATGAAAATGTGCCGCAGGGTTTACTTTCATCACTGCAGATGATTCATCAGCCGATGTTCATGGCAAACACACCACCTACCCAACAGCTTCCTGCTACCACGATGCTTCCCACTTTACTTAAGAAACTTAGTTTCAAACAGCAAATTAATATTGAAAGGGTTTGACTATATATATTTATATATATATATATATCCTTTTATGACATTAGAACATTTACATTAACTATTAGATAAACATTTGGCCAGCCCAAAAGTATTATGCTCTTGATGTTGTTAAGTGCCATTAAGTCGGTTCTCCCTCCAAGCAGCAACTCGTGGATTTGAACCTTGTGGTTTGCAGTCCAGTGTTTATCCTATAGTGCCATACAAGGGCTCCATTATACCTATGTTGTTGTTGTTAAATGCTGTTGAGTAGGTTCTGACTCAGAGTGACCCTGTCTAGGGTTTCTGAGAAGTGATGGGTGGGTCTGAACCGCTGAACTTGCAGTTCAATGCTTATCCTACAGCACCACACCAAGACTCCATTATACTGTTAGATACACTATAAAACAATTAAAAAATAATTTCGACAATTTATTTCCATAAAAGTGGATGATCTCCCCAATAGTAATTCTATTATTAAATCCATCCTATTAAATTAATCTTAAGGAATTAGAGGTTGATCCTTTAAAATTACTAAGATAACAATATAATGTAACACAGATGGCTTTTAAATGTGGTACTCAAAGTCAGCTGAAATAGGTCCATATAGATTCATCAGTTTACAAACATACCCAATATGCATTTTAATCAATTTATTATCATCTAATTTTAATGAACAGCATGTGGTTAAAATGTCATTTGACAGCATCTATTATTTGCAATAAACTGCTGCAAGTACCTTAAGGCCCACAGGTAACTACTGTGTAATTCCTAAAATATTAACTTGTACATAATGACTTGATGACAAACACAAAGGACAGCATATATGACACATACTTAAAGAGCTTTCTGAACAGGAAACCAGGCATTTTAAAACCTTCGTCAAATTCAGCATCGCTGTCCTCAGAATTGTTTTCTAGGTTTAGGCACTTCTCTTTGTCTTGCAGTCTCAGTTTATTCCATCTCCTACATGAAAATTAAAATGTTTCAATTATGTTGATTTAAAAAAGATTAAAACACATACTTTTAAATAACATACAAGAAAAAAGAGGCAAAACAGATTGTCTTTTAGGTGTCTACTGCCAACATTAACCGAAACACTGATACTCAAAGAAAAACCATTCATTTAATCTTTTCCTTCCTTTTCAATTCTTCTTTGAATCATTATGGCTGCTCTAGAAATATTTCTGTAAGGCCTCATTTCATTAACAAAACTACTTGCTTTTCTTCTGGTAAACCCTAAGAGAAAATTTCTGAGCTAGTTCTGAAGATATTTAAGCTGAATTCTAGAAATGATGCAGTAAATATTTTAATCTAACTAAATATCTCCAAAATGGCAAAAGCACAAACAAGAAATAAAAACAAAAAACAAATGTATTTTTAATCACTGTTTCTGTGTCAAAGAGATGATAGTCATAGAATAAAGTAGCATAATAATGTAGTCAAAGTTACTACAGTTGGGATTCACATACTAATTACCATAATAGGTGGAGGCTGAGGGGCTGTGGAGCGCAATACAAAACTAATGATCATTATGCCACTTAGAAAAAAATGTTCCGTGAACAAGGGGTAAGTTATGAATTCAACAATTTAATGCTTTTCAGATATAAAATAAGATGAACATTTATATTTCAGAAGGCTAACACCATACAATTTTAGCAGAAGAATTACAGTTATTTAAAGATCGGAAAACTTAGCAATAGCCAAGATCACTGACAAAGCATAGCCATTTACCTGGAGTAATTCTGCAGGCATACAGATAGGCTTATGGTACCATGATTTAAAAAAAAAAAAAAAAATCACAAAAGTCAATATAGCCTCATCCTTTTAACTTTCAAAATAAAAAGATGACTTTTTGCATGCAACTGACACTGAATTTCACAAAAAGGCAGAACTGAACCAAAATAATACAGGCCAATACCTTCAAAATAAATGTTTCAGAGGAGGGGAATGAGAGCAGCTACGAATGTAATGAGGCATTTATCTGCCACTGACTATGCAGAATAACACTATCTGAGGGAAAGCAAAAGGGTAATACGGAAATAAACCACAGGCTATCCCATTAGAGGAGTCCTGGTGTGGTGCTGCGGGTTAACGCACTGGACTACAAAGTAGGTATGAATCGCAAGGTTGGCGGTTCAAGCTCTGCAGCCGCTCTTTGGAAACCCTCTACAGCGTAGCTATGACTCTTAACAACAACAGCAGCCCCATCAGAGAGATGGTTGAAATTGATCCTCCAATCAATTCTTGCCTTGTTAGAAATTTCAACTCATTCAAAGAATAAAACAAAAAAGGGCTGCAATTTAATTATGATCAGCAAGGAAGAATTAGTTGATGATCTACAACAGTATTCAAGGGTAGGAAGAGAACTAAAAATCAGATCACTGGAGCACTCATTGCTGGTATTTCCAGAGCAAAGAGCAAATGAAACGGGAATTATATGGCCAAGTATAAGCAAATATATTGGTACCATAGAAATACACAGTTTAACATGTACCACTCTTTTTACGTAAAAATTTTAATCACCTTTCTGCATTTAACTTTCAATGGCATTTTTTTCTCTTTTATTTTTCTTCCTGGAACACTGTTGTTGCGTGCCATCCAGTCGGTTCTGACCCATAGCGTGGCTGGTGGATTTGAACCACTGACCTTATGGTTTTCATACAGAGCCACACCCTGAACATTATTACCCCCATGCAACTGATGACTACAGCACACTTCTAGGTGGCTATAGGAGTCATGGTGCAGTGCTACAGGATAATCACCAGACTGAAACCACAAGGTCAGTAGTTCAAACTCTACCAGCTGCTCCTTGGAAACCCTACACAAGGAGTCAGAACCACCAGCAATAAGGTGGTTATAGCAATCTTTGCTTAAGTTCTAGTTTTATGCTACCCACAAATTTAGTTAAGTACAATGGTATAAAGAAGTGGCTCTCAATTGGCACAATTCTGACACACAGCGCCACCCCAAAAAAACCCCAGGGCATTTGGCCATATCTGGAGACATTACTGGTTGTCACAATTTTAAGGGTAGAGGCCAGGATAATGCTAAACATCCTTCAATAGAAAAATGAGTCCTTCCCACTCCAAGGAATCACAGTCTCAAATGTCAATAGTGTCAAAGCTGAGAAGTACAGCTACCCCTTACTATCAGAAGTCAGAAACAAAAAAGAATGAATATACATTTTTCTGGTAATCGGAATTTTTGTTACTGGCTCTCTGAAATCCAGGAAGCAAGAAGTTTCAGATAATTAGGTAGTTTTCAGTATCTAAATTCTGACTCCCAAAATTTAGAACGAAACATATTTGCATTCAGCAAATCTGTAAATCACAGAAAACTTGAAGAATATAAAAAATTATTGACTATTTTACGTATTAAATGCTATATGACAGCTACTTCCTAAAACTTAATCAGTAAATCTTCATGGCTGCCCAATTTCCCAAACACATCACTCTGTATTAACCTGGTTTCACCTTTCTCCTTCCCATTTCCCTTCCTCCTGTAACACACTGGCGCTATGTTATCCACAGAACCCAACGCCTAGGAAACCACATCAGCCACTACACAAATGATTGCATTCTAGAGTTTACCACTCCTTAAAGAAAGATAAAAGAACTGACCATTTAGTTAAGCTAAAGGATGATTAAAGGTGGGGGGGGGAAACCATTATTGCCTATAAGGTATGTGAATTATTGTAAAGACAAATTACTCCAACAGAATTATATACACATATTAAAAACAGAAAACATCAAGGTTATAAAACCACACACATCTGTGGTTCAAGCTAAAAGTGATTCTTGTACCAGAAAGCAGTAATTCATTCCTCAAGTGGCTTGTGGCCAAAATGTACCAGATTGTCTGAATACTGTCCACTGAGAAAGGGTTCAGCACAAAGCTGCTGGTCAACAAAAATACAATATGATACACTATGGAGCTGAGGAGAGTGTGTGCATTGGCACACTGGGAGAGACAATGCTTTCCCCATCCTAGACTCAGCTGAGGACTTTCAGGGTTAGCTGCTGCAAAAGACCTCTTATTTTAAGTGTTTAAGAAAAAAGATGGCTACAGTGGGCCTGACCCAAGCCATGGTATTTTCAACTGTGTAGTGGTTACAAATCGGGCTGCAAACCGCAAGGTCAGCAGTTCAAAACTACCAGCTGGTCCACAGGAGAAGGACGAGGCATTCTGCTCCCGTAAAGATTTAAAGTCTCGGAAACCCTGTACAGGGTCGCTATGAGTCGGAAACGACTCCACAGCACATAACAACAACATATACATACACCTGCTGGACAATAAACAAGGAAGACCGCAGAAGAATTGATGTGTTTAAATGATGGCACTGTTGAAGTTACCATGGACAAACAAATCTGTCTTGGAAGAAGTACAGCCAGAATGTTCCTTAGAAGCTCTTGACAACCTGTTCTTTGAACACATTATGAGGAGGGAACAGTCCCTGGAGAAGGACAGCAAAAAATAGGAAGACTCCTAAGAAGATGAACTGACACAGTGGCTGCGACGATGAGCTCAAACGTAACAATTGTAAGAACGGTATAGGACTGAGCAGTGTTTCGTTCTGTTGTGCACAGGATCTCAATGAATCAGAACCAATGCAAAGGCACCTAACAACAGCTCTTGAAGTGTCTCCAGCTTGTCCTGCAACAAGGCAAGCGAGTTTTCTGTCTCTCCAGAAGATGTCCAAGGAGACTACAGGATAGATATAAACTGCACCTGACACATGCAATAAAGACAAACCAAAGCACAGCACCTGGGCTCAGACAGTCCGGAATCAAATCCTGACTGCAAGTTAGGAGCTGTTTAACCCCAGCAAGTGATGTGACCTCTTGAGTGCCTTGTTTCCTCAACTGTGAAATGAGAGCACCCACCTCACTGGGTTTTGGGGAGAATGAATATGGGACCACATGTGCATATGGTAAGTGCTTGATGAGTATATGGTTAGATATAATCATCTATTTATGTTATTATGAACAGTGTTATTAAACCCTCACAGAAATCCTGTAGCCAGTGTTGTCACCATGGCCAGTCAGAGCTAGAAAAGAGGGACTATGTCTCATACAAACTGACTGTGAGAGTACAAGGCACCAGAGAGGTTTGAGAGACCTACCTGAACAGACACATTTAAACAAAAACTACTATAATTTATTAAATGGATTTCAATCCATTATGTACAATGGGTACAATATGATCAATAAGAGAGACATCTAGCCTACAGAAGGTACCTGCTAGCTAGAATATGGAAATTGTAAAATTCTATAACAAATTTGTAAACAGGTGGTTGTGGTGGCGGTGGTGTGCCGTGGAGTCGATTCTAACTCACAGTGACCCTGTATAGGGTTTCTGAAGCTGTAAATCTTTACAGGAGCAGAAAGCCTCATCTTTCTCTCATGCAACAGCTGGTAGTTTCAAACTGCTGACCGTGAGGTTAGCAGCCTGACTCATAACCACTATGCTACCAGCGCTCCTTTGTAAATAGTTAACGGTCAAAAACTGAAGTTTAGCCAGTAGCAAAAACTAGATATAAAATGATTTAAAATTGATTAGGTGTGGGGCCAAAGTTAAGAACTGACAAAACAGAAATGGTCCTAAAATGGCTAAATTCTGTTATTTCAATAAATAAACCAAATAAGTTATTTAACAGGGCAGAAGGCAGTTAATAGTCAATATTTACATTTTTAGGAAAGAAAAAACTTTAAACATGTTTTCCACCCTCTCATTTTACAAAATCACATATGTAATAGTCACAGCTGCAACCAAATAAAACAAAGAAGGCCTGGTGTTCACTGGCAGTTGTTCTAACTCCTCCAACTACTGCCATATCTAGCCCACTGCCGACTCCACTGGCAGCCACTTAGAAGAGTAGCAAGTAATAAACATAAAACTTGTAACTCAAATCGGATGCAGGCAGAGAAAACACTTCCTGGCTTTCCTACAATCCCGCAGGAATG